TCTGGCAAAGGCAGAATCTAGACTACATCACTTCAGAAACATGTCAGACATTTACACATTAGAGAGTTCCCCAAAGCTAGCGTGCACTCACAATAGACAATTTCCCCGAGGAACCAGATCCGTTCGGAAGAAGGGAGGGAAGGGAAAGGTCAAAGCAACTTTTTACACACCAGAGAGCAAATAATCGAGTTCCCCCAAAAAATAGCTTACAGAGACAACATTTCACTTCTACCTAAAAAGACCTGCTCAGTGAAGAGTTTCTGAAAAAGGAAGGGGTAATATGCATTGGCAAAATCTATTCATTTCCAAGGGGCATTAGTCTCCTTTACTGCCCTTTTCCTTGTTCATCTTTTTCATTTTCATTCTTCGGTTTTGAAACCAGATTTTGACCTGCCTCTCTGTGAGGTTTAGAATCCTAGCTACTTCGTAGCGGCGGTCTCGGGTGAGATACATGTTAAAGAGAAATTCCTTTTCCAGCTCCAGGGTCTGGTATTTTGTGTAGGGACAGCGCTTTTTCCTGGTGGAACGTGCGTGGATCCAGTTTGCTGCAGGGTTATCTGCAAAGAGGGGGGGTTTGGAGTACGGGAGAGAAAGGAGAGGGGAGGGGAGTCAGGGGGGGGGAGGAGGGGGGGGGGGGAGAGAGAGGTCGTTAAATTAATTTAACTAAGGATGGACGGTTTTCACAACTTTGGGGGAATTATCATAAAAAGCCTTAATGCCCCCACTCTGTTTACTGTACAAACTGTGTACCGATGGTAGGTGGTTATGTGAACTCTTTTTTTTTTTTTTTTTTTTTTTATGGACGTTTGTTGCTCGCCTGCGCTAGAGTAGGCGTCTAGACGTTTTTATAGGTTAGTAAAACTATCAGTTTTGCACATTCGAGCCTTACAGGTTTCGGCAATAAATCAGGGGGCAATTTCTTTTTTACTTACTTGGGTCAAGTTGCTGCTGCTGCTGTTGCTGCTGCTGCTGTTGCTGCTGCTGCTGTTGCTTCTCCTCCTTCAGCTGGCTGCTCGGGCTGGGGTGGTCGCTGCAAGCCGAGGGCTCCTTGTTGGCCACTCCAGCAACTGCCGCTGCTGCCGCCGCTGCCGCTGCCGCCTTCTCCCGGGGCTCCTGCAGGAAGGAATTGCACGTGTACTCGGGGACACTGATCCCCTGGGACTCCCGAGACGAGGAGCACTCAGTCCTTTTGGTAGAAGAGGAGGAGGTGGTGGAGGAGGAGGGACAGGAGGAGGAAGAGGAAGAAGAGGAGGAGGAGGAGGAGGAGGAGGAGGTGGAGGTGGCAGGAGCTACTCCTGTTTCTGGCTTAATTCCGTAGTGGCGCCCGGTGGAGGACGTGCCGCCGCCGCCGCCGCCGCCGCTGCTGCCGCTGCCCCCGGTGCCGCCGCTCCCAGTGCTGCTGCTGGGGAAACTCGGGAAGGGCTCGATCCAGGAGCGCACGTACCGACTGGGCTCGGAGGTTGCTAAATGGGGCTGATGCACATAGGGATGGTAGATCCCTGTCATAGCCGCCGAGGGCTGTGGGGGCACGGTGGGCCAGGATGCGGAAAACACGGTGGATTTTGGGGCAAAGCTACAGGAGGAGAATTCGGTCCCGTCGGCCACACCTGACGGCCTGGCGGCCGTGCCGTGCCCCGCCTGCCCGAAGCGCCCGGAGTACACTTCATCGCTCTCGTGGCCTATGAGAGAGTCCACATAGTAGTTACTTAGGGTGCCACTGGACGACATTTTTTAGGCTCCCCTCTCCCTCATATAAAAGGTTACACTGTTAACTGTAGCGGCTCCCCTCCCTGAGCGCAATTCGAGTATTTTGCAGGCTGCAACCCGCCACCATTGGTCGCGGGGCCCACGTGATCATATTTACCAATACGGGGAGTAAATCAATCCGCTAAACTGGGGGCTGCTGTGATTAAAAAAAATCATCATCAACAACACCACAATTTAAAAAAAAAAAGCAACTGGAGCTGTGGGGAGGGCGCCGGCGGGGCGAGCCCAGGCTCCCTGTCTTCCAGCGGGTGTGAATGGAACCCGGGCAGGCGTGGTCGTGCCGAGGAGTCCCGGCAGGAGACAGTGGGGACTATTTCTTCGCTTCCTCTCTGTGCTTTCTGCGCTTCATTCGGTACCCCCCACTCCCATCCTCTCTGGGAACTCTCTGGATTGCAGCCCCCCACTCACCTTCCGTCTCGTCATCTCAGACTGGTGGCCTTGGGTGGAGGAAGAGAGGGCAAGGCACTGGGAATAAATGGGGAAGGAACACGAGGGCTGGGGGCATTCAAAAGAAAGTCAGCCCAGAGCCACCAAGGGAGGGGAGGACGCCTCCCCATTTCAATGCATGTGCTTGTGTTTTTGTGGAAATCAACTTCCTAGCTGAAGGGATTTTCTTTTCCCTTCTCCTCCTTTCCCCTTCAACGCCTCCCTCCCCCTACCTAACAAAAAAAAAATGCTTGTCGTGTTGTTTAAAACAGGTGGAAGACCTCTGTAATGATATTATGCCTTTCAATAAAAATTTTATGAGGTGTATTTGATTATAGATTAATGTGTCCCTAATAAAACGGACGGATGGATGGAGCAGCTCCGACAGCTTCTCCACTCCAACCCCAACAGATATGTACACACAGCAACGACGTGTTGCTCTCTCTGCTCACACACAACTACCCCAAAGGTGAAACTCCGGAGTTTTCTTTCCCCTACTTTGGTAGCGCTTCGGGGCTTTAGCTGGAGTGGCTTCTTCCAAACACGACCAGAGAGGATGAAGTTTTCACAGGGCTTTTGCTGGAGGAAAACGTGGTGGTATAAGCTGGCAAAACGCAGAAGTTCCCCTGATGAGTGCAAGAGAAAGAGCTGCCCTGGAAGAGAGCATGGCAAGCAACCGATTGTGGACCCAAGTGCCAGCCTCCTCATTTGGGCCAAACTTTCCCCTTCATCCTCAACGTGCAAATGGGGCAGTTGGTGTATTCTCTCTCCCCTGTATTATTGAAGGAAAAACGAATATTAGCATGTCTCGAGGCAGGGAAAAACTCTGTTGTTACTGGGGACTGCTAAGAGTATTCAGGGGATATCTGAGAAATATTGGCCTTGCCTCTCTCCCCCTCCCCCATCAGCATTTCCTCTCTTCAAAGGCGACACTGAATAGCCTTGAATCTGAGGGAATTACCAACTGTTTTCCCCAAATTCATAATATAGCTCTATCAAAATGTTACTTCAAGCTCTGTTGTGTGTGTGTGTTTTAATCTCCCTCTACTCTCTACTTCTGTACACGAAGGCTACAGCCGTTTTTCTCTTGTTGGAAATGCATTCTACATAGATCTATAGGAATAAAGAAGGGGCGGGGTGGGGGGGGGGAGGAATTACTATTTGGTTGATCACCTTTTTCTAAGGCTTTCTCTTTCTTTTTTTTTTCTTCTTCCAAAATTCTACATTGGGTTAGGAAAGGTCGGACTGTTGTTTTTTTTGTTTTTTTTTTGTTTTTTTTTGTCTCTCCATGCAACAAACATTTTCCTCCCTTGTCAGCAAAGAGTGCCCACTACATGAACTGGCACTCCAGAAATCATTGGTTTTCACTTGGCTACTTAAAGGTGATGGGGCTGGCAGATCCCAGTTTTCATAGCCATCATGTTTACGATTTCCTGTAAGAGGACCCTTTCCCTCTCCAAATGAAGTTTCTAAAATATTAGTGCTTTAAACTGATAAACATTCCTGGGTCTAGGAAGGAGTTGTTTTTTGTTTTTAACTTACATAATTGCAGATTGTCTAGAATCCTTCACTGAATGAATGCAGTGAATTAAAGAGTCTAAATGAATTTGTTTTCCCCTGCCAGGAAAGGAAATGGAAAAGAAATTGTCTAGTGTAACGATGATATTTAAAAAACCCTTTAAAACTGCAGCCAAGGCCTGAGACAACGAAATATTTGTAGACTCTTTTCAAGGCATATTCTTGTACCCTGTCTAAAGGATGGTGGTTAACCATGCTGGGGGTCCTCTCAGATTAGAATACTGCCTGAATAGGAGCCCAAAGGGCTACACTGTTTTCTTTCAAACCCTGCTAGAAAGTGCTGGCTTATTCGAACACTGGGCTTCAGTTCGGAGGAGTCATGTTCATTTGCAAATCCGCTAAAGTTCCTTTTAATGCGTTTACTTCCGTCTCATATATGGTGGCTACGGGCAGTATTTTGCAATTAAGCAGGGGGAGGAATGACTGTGCAAACTTCTTTCCTCCTCTCTCTCTGTCTCTCTCTCTCTCTGTCTCTCTCGACTAGTAAAAGGTAATTACTACTCATAAAATTCCTTCTCCAGTAAACAACAGCAAAATGGTTTCTGCAAAACTCTCTTTTCCTAAGTTGCATTACAGGATGGGTACCTGGCCATTAAGGTGGGGTTGGGGGGAGAGGAAAGAGATCGAGTTTAAATGTTAGGCAGCTTGCTATAGCCTTCAGTTATCAATGAAAACTACAAGCTATTCTCACTTCACACGACCATGGGGAAGATTCGTTTCAAATCTGGACCCCTATCACTAAACACAAATCAAACCTTAAGGATTTTAAAAAAAAAAATGGCATTATTATCTACCAAAGGTCCAGGAAAATGGCTCTTGCAATGCTGCCCGGAATAGAAGGAAGAAGGGATCTGGGGGCACTCACCAGTCTCGAGTTGGTAGGAAGCAGGAGTCTAGTTTAGGTCATGATATTTTACTATCCTTGGGGGAGGGAAAGGGGGCAATGATTCCTTTTTCCCAAACTGTGAACAACTGTACAATATTTCCCAGATTAATCATCGGTACCACTCCTGCCATTTCCCGGGGGCCTTTCCTTTTCTCTCCTTCCTCTGGCTCACCCCTCCACTCCACTTCCCCTCCTCCCCCTTCAAGCAGTCTTTCAGGCTGCAGCTGATATTCCCAGTGAAGGCTCTCAAATCCAGACTGATCTTTCCATTTTAGACAACAAAAGGGGCCAGTATCGTTTACAGAGTTTATTGCATTATACATGCTAACAGAACATGCACAGAAAGGACAGATTGCTGTTTGTACTTCTAAGACACCACATATGCACCACAAGAACATATCTACAATGGATAAGTAGACAAGAATCCATTTTACTAAAGACAATCTCTAAGTTCATTTGCGAGGATAGTTACATTGTCATGTGCTTTTTCCCCCCGGAAGGTTGTGGGTGTTCTTAATATTGTTAAACTATTGGATTATTCAATAATGCCATGGCTAATGTGAAAGCCACACGCACAGACCATATTTGTGAGTACAAACATGAAAAAGTCACATTGTTTGGATACTCCACAGTTCCAATAAGTTAAGACCAAATGATAACTCTCAATAATAGTTACCCTGCATTACGATGAAAAAAAAAATAAATTACACGTGCTAGTTTTCTTTTATATATATATATATATATATGTATCTCCATAGGTATACAGATTCACTTGCAGCACTAAAATAATGACCCCAAAGTCACATTCTATCAGGATAAAACAAAACAAAAAAAAAAAGGAAAGAAAAAAATGAAGATTTTGTTTGTGTTTTCCAAGTCTCTCCTGCATTTTGCACCCGGGGAATGTTGTGCCGAATATCCTCACTGTTTCTGTCCCCGCGTTAGGGTCTAAGAGAAGGTCAGATTAGCGGTCAGTTCTCGGATTCGGTTCTCCCTGCTCATCTTCTTAAGCTTCATTCTGCGGTTTTGAAACCAGATCTTGACCTGCCTGTCAGTGAGGTTAACGCTCTTACTGATCTCTAGGCGGCGCTCGCGAGTGAGGTACATATTGAATAAGAATTCTTTTTCTAATTCCAGTGTTTGATGTTTAGTATAAGGACACCTCTTCTTTCTGCCACTCTTTGCAGTTAACCAATTGCTGGTTGGAGTATCGGACTTGATTTCCTCTATCAAAATCAAAAGGAGAAGAAAAAAAAATCAAAAAAAATTTTTTTCTCAGTCTGTTAGAGTGTACCCTTGGCCATGACCCCTCTACTATAATGTCTGGTAGCTCAGTGAAATGCTGGTATTAAACATTACTCACACGAGGTGTGTACACTGTAAGGGATTTCTAATTGTTGCCAGATTAGTGCTAAATAGTTCCAATGACACGATGTGCGGGCACCCTCGACTTTTGCGCCAGTGTTTTGATTTCTCGCTAAAGTTTCCAACTCGCACACAACATTTAAACAATATTTAACCTACCAGGGTCTCCCCAGTCACATTTTAACGGGGTTGCTCGTGACAGCCTGGGACTGTAAGTCACTTCCTAAGAAAACCTGCCAGTTCCACAGTATTCACACATTCTATTTTCCATCATTTTTCTCTCGATCTCTCAGACTTGGAGTCCCACCCAGCCCAACCACATTTATAGGTGTAAAAGTACATTTTATTCTTAATAAATTATCTCTTGGAAGTGAAAATCTCTCCCCATACTCACATCCACGCCCACACATACTTGTCTGTGCATTGTTTCCTTTAGAATGCTCACCCCTCTAACACCACCCCATAAAGACATTTGTTCAGGGTAAATGTATACTCTGCTGCCTACTGCAATATTCCATGAGTATAAGAAGAGAAGGCGAGGGAGAGGTTGCAAAGTCCATTTTCACAAGGTGAATTCCCGGGGTTTGGTCGCCTCACCCTCTGCCTGTTCCCAAAGGCAAACTCTGGCTCTTCTTTAATGGGAGCCACCATCTAACTCTCCATATTTTCAATCTTGAAAAGAGAGTTTAAGAGCCTGATACCCTTAAAAACAAACAAACAAACAAATCCAAGGTTATTGGAAACAGCTCAGGAGAGCAGCGGTGTCCCCTGGAAACCCAGGCGCATTGCTACTGCCCTGTGCTTCTGGCTTCAGCCTTCGGCCTCCAGAAAGCTTTAACAAGCTAGCAGGACACATCTCACACCATTTGAATATCAACACAGTGCTTCTAAATGCCATAAAATCATAATTGAATGCAATTAAAATATTTAATTAAGATATTACCAGGATAAAGGAGAGTAATTGGTTGTGTTTACAACCTCAAGATCTCCTTCTAGTCCTTTTGTTGTTTTTTCGTGGACTAGCCTAGCAAAGAACAAATCCAAGCAACCTCTTCCTCCCTCTCCCCATCAGTCTGTGTAGAAGGTAAACACAATAAGAGAAGGTAAAACAGGAAAAGAGATGGCTGCACTCTATGGGGACTGATTTTTGCTCTCTTTCTCTTCCTAAGAGCTCCAGAGAGCCAGCACCTGCAGCCCGATGTCTCCTTATCATTAAATGTTATGGCTGTGGTGCTTGTTAGTATTTTACACTGTGTTTTATGATGCTGCCGTGTTCAAGTTACACCACGCTATGGTTTAAACTTTGATCATACCGACCTTTACTTTCCTTCTCTTGGACTTCTGGGCTGGACACGGACACTTCAGCTAGGCAGCTCCTCTCCTCTGGCAAAGTGGACTTGGGCTCGGGGCTTTCCACTTGAGGGACTTTAGCTGAGTCTTGGTTGCTGGGGTTTTCACTCATTTTCTTTTCCATCTGAAGGTGGGCAGAAGATAGCTGCGGTTTGGCAGAGCCGCGAGGGTTTAACTGTAACATTACAGTTGAACTCGTTTCAGGGCTGTTATTGTACTCTTGGGTTTTCCCAGTGGCGTAGGTCTGGCTCAGTCTAAAATATCCTGGGACAGGAACCTCGGGATTTTCAATGGGGCATGATTCAGAGACCAACCTCTGGTAAGAAGGGACGTCGGAAGAAATGAGTTTGGTTCGCTTATCGGAATACATGCAGCAATTGGTTTCTTCCTTAATATTGGTAGTGAAGGAGCAAGTAGGGACCTGCTGTGTAACAGGTTGCTCTATTCGACAAGATCTGCTCGGATCTGTCCAACTCTCTACTTGAGGTATATAAGGATGCACATTCATACCCATATTTTGGTGATTAACTTCTCTTTTAGCCAGAGACGGGAGCAGTCCACAGGTTTGCATTCCATAAGTCCCCATGTCTGTGCTGGGTGGTGGCATGTACATGCTGGCGCTGCTAGAATAAAAACTGTCACTCCTGCAGGCACTGATCAAGGAATCTACTAAAAAAGTATTAGCAGCAGGAGAGCTGTTGGGAAAGGACATTTTGGGGAGGAATTTGAAGAAGAGAGATTGTGTCCTTTGTAGGCTGACATCTCTAGGAAAACATTCCCTGTGTAATTGTGGATGCCTCTGCCCGACCACATGACAACCAAGCCAATGAGATTTGAAAATGGCCTTGAGCCGCTGCCTCCTCGCGGGTCACGTGCTCCCCGGGCCCGGCCGGTCCGCCGAGCAACTACGGACAACAGCGACATCTACAACGCGCAAGGGATAGTGCGGGGAGAGCGTGGCGCTCCTCTGGAGCTGGTCTAGGGCAGGCAGCCCCGGCGCACTGCGCCCACGGCAAACAAGGAGCTCTCGGCGGCCAGGCAGTCCGGTGGCCGAGCCGGAGGGATAGAGGACAGGAGGGGAAGAGGAAAAGAAGGAAAGGAAGGAAAGAAGGAAAGGAGAGGAGAGGAGAGGGAAGTGATGGAGGGAGATTATGTATTATACATAAGTGCGTATGCACTTATGCATGTATACATACTTACAGAGAGAAAGACAGACATGTGACAGACAGACAGAGTGGGGGCCAATTATTGATTTATTTAGGACTGATATTCTCGGAGAGGTGAGTCAAAATTCCCTGGGATCCTGAGTTCCTGTCCCTAGGCTTTAAAATGATGAGATGATGATAATGATGTGATGGTGATGAAAATCCTAGTAGTAAACGTGGGAAGGGAAAACAGAAGGGGGAAGAAAAGGGCAAACAGGCCAAGGATCCGCTGGACATGAAGTCTAGGGGAAAGTGGTGCCGAAGTAATGCCTCATTCCCCAAGCCCTCTCCATCCTATGCTCAGGACTCTGCTCGCTGTGGGGCTCAGCATATGCATTTCTCCCCAGCGGAAATAGGGGATTTCTCCTGACCGCATGCACTCTGGGACCCTGTGTGGTTTCATACAGGAGACAATTATTTGCCAGCAACGTGCTGTCAGAGAAACCGCCCCTCGGGTTCCCTACATGAAAATGGAGCTGGGATCTTCATCCCCACACACTTTTAAAAGGGGGGAGGGAGGTGAAGAAGAAAAGGAAAAAAAAGGAAACGGGGGGGGGGGGGGGACAACAAAAAACCCTGACAATCCAGACTTTGAAAGTTTTCAGTAACTGGCTGGGCTGGAGGGGGAGGGAAATGCTAAGGTGTCATTCAGTTATTATGCAAAGAAAAATATGTTTTCCTTTTATGGATTTTGTAAAAGCATTGGTTTCTGACAAGTGCAAGGTACAAAAGGTTGTGGAATTTATTAATACATATTAAGAAGAATCAGAGCGATCAATAAAATTCTCATCTACATTCTTGGGCTACTTGGTAATTTTCTTGCTTCTGAAGGTTTTTAAAGAGTTATACCCTCTGTTGCCACACACGGGAAGATATTTTATTAACAAATCAATCGAGACTTTGTAAAGGATAAGATTAATAGTTAAGATTTAGCATAATGGCGTTCGCGTTATGAATTATTGAAAATTATACTATTGATTTTTCCCCTCGCTACTAACCAAGGAGGTCAATTTTTGTTTTAACACAAATCGTCAAATATTAAAAGCTATACTTTTGTCAGAAGTTGAATTTTATAGTTCTCGGAGATTCCTAAAATTATTTGATAAGAGCTTTTGCTTTGCCAGAAAGAAAGGAAAGGAAAGGAAAGGAAAGAAAGAAAAAGAAAGGGAAGGAAAGGAAAGGAAAGAAGAGGAGAGGAGAGGAAAGGAAAGGAGAGGAGGGGAGAGAAAAGGAAAATCTCAATCCACTGTTTTCCTCTGGTAAGCGAGGTCCCACAAAGAGGGCTTGGTCTTGAGCTGTGGTCGTGCACATTAAAAAACAAGACAAAAAGACGACAACAACACTGCAGAAACTCGGAGTTTTATGAGAAAACTGTTCTGGCAACTTCCTTCTCTGGCTTTGGGAGCAGGCAGCCCTGATCCCCGCCACTATCTCCAGCTATAGGAAGGCAGCAGTAGGGAGCTTTAAACTTGGATTTCCAAAGACTTGTCTTAGAAAGCATTAACTTGTCCTCTCCCTCCGAAGCTACAGTCCCCTCTCCTGCTAAGAGGGTGGGGGATGAAGCACGGAAAGAAACACTGACCGTGAACCAGTTCCTTCTTTCGAAGGGGTTTTCTTTTTCTAAACCTCAATCTCTTCTGAGGAGGTTCCCTGGACTTGGATTTCAGGAGGATACACTGAACTTGTGGATAAATCTTGTTTCCGGTTCAGCTGAACATTTCTTTGGGGCCTGAACGGCTTCAAAGCGCATTCAATGTTTCTGTATTATTGGGGGATGCAAGCTAGATTGTGCCTCGCAGACCCCCACGTGAAAAGGCGATTCAAATCTCTCTTTCCAACAAACCATCTCGCCCCCCCCCAAATAAATCTCCTCTGTCCCTAGTGGAAGTTAGAATTTTACATTATTTTCTGGGATGAGTTTGTTTTCCTTTCCCCCATAGCCTGGCATTGTCAGAAACAATAACCCCATTTAAAATCTCCGCTGTGGCCATGAGACAGACCTTTTAAAACCTTATCGCAGCTGTTCAAATACAACATCATTGTCAGGTTAAAAGCCCCGACGCCTTTAACAGCTACAGTCTAAAGCTCTGTGTTGGCCAGAGACCTTAAACATTACCTTTATGGAAAAGTAGCTGTTTTAAGCTATGAACAAATAAATAAGAAAGTTTTTATTTTGATTTTTTTTTTTTACATTCTACCCTCCAACGCTGCCTGAAACAGTCTTTTCGGTTATTATTTTAGCGGCAACTAGGTAGTAGGCTTGCAAAGGGCATTTTCTCTCAGTTGAGATCATTATCAGAGCCAATGCTAGGCTTTGCCAAGTCACAAACAAAGTGTTGTGGACTTCACGGTGCTGATCATTGAGAGCTGTTATTTTGCTTTCTAGAAATCCCTCCATCACCACCCCCCCCCTTATTTTACACTAATGCCGGGCAACCCACAGAGTGCAAAGAAGTCAAATACTATTTTCCTGGGCTTAGGCTAAGCTCCGACTGCTAAATCTAATCAGGAATTTTATGCCCATCAGATGGTCTTTCATAATCTTTATTTACACTTGAAGAAAATAGGGCAGTCAGAAATATCCGATGCAAGTTTTTAGCTTACAGGTCTGCCTGTGGGTTTCGTAAGAGTTCTCCTGAAACAAGAACTTGAGGTCTTGTTCTTGCATTTGGGGTGTATCGGATATTTACTCAGGTGGCTGTGAAAGACCTAGTCTCCTCGGAGTCAGCTTTCATTTTCAATTTCTCCTCACTTCCCTCAAAATGAATATCTCACATTTTCTCGCCTAGATCCGATTATTTCTCCTCTCTCCCCCCCTCCAAATTCTAATTTGAAAAAGTCCGAATGCTTTAAGAGCAGATGAGGATTTTTGGCTTTCTCGATTTTAAAATAAAAAATTAAGCAAACTAGAAATAGTAAGAGCAAATGAACAGGGAGAAGGAAGGGGTGAGACAATCATTAAGAATCGGAGGCTAATCAGCACAAGGAGAAGAATGAAAATGTGACCGTATTGAGGAACAAGCAGTTATTTCGCTTATGAGTATTTAATGTAAGTATTGTTTTAGATCATATTTAGATAGGGCAAAGTCATTAATATTAATAATAAATCAATATTGAGCCATAAACTAGATATGCATCCTATATTCATACGCAATGCTCCCTCCCCAAAGCCATACTACGTTCCCAGGGAAAAATAAAGGAGTAGCTTTACAGTTAAATTAGCATTTGTAATCAAGGGGGCAGGTTGTCTCCTCGATTTCCTGTTTCAAGGAAAATGAGGAAGGAACCCCGTGCTGAGAGGAGACCTTTTTGCGACTGGGATTGCCCTGGATTCTAAGCCCTAAACGGCCTCTAGTCTTCGGGAAAGTTTCGGGGCTGCACCAAGGTCGAGACTCTAGTCTTCTGGCCGTCCTCTCTCCCCACCTCCCTTCCTAATTCTCTGTTGTTTGGGTTGAGAGCTCATGGCCAAGAGAGAAGAGTGTTGAAGTGGAATTCAGGGAGCTCTTCGAGACACAACCACCAAACACAGGCGTGAGAGAAAATGAGAGGTTTTCAAATATCCAGAGGGACCAAAGAGTGTCTCCTTCTTATCCCGACACAAAAAAAGGAAGCAAGTTGGTTCATTTTCCCTCCAAATAGAAGTCTAAGACCAGGTATTGCCTTCTGCCAATGTCAAACATCCAATATCCGTGAAAACAGGAAATGTTTTTCTTTAGATTAAAGGAGATCTTACTTTTTATCCTCTTCTCCCTCCCCTGGACTTCGCTTTCCTGTAGGTCACTCGAATTTCTACACCTAGTGCTTGACTTCGAGAGAAGCAATAATTCGTTAACTAACTAGGCTGCAGGATTTAGAAATCCAGACCCTTTCTTTCTCCCAGGCGTCAAGCCAACGCAACTAAGCTCTTCTGGAATGGAAATTGGGATAGCCTGCCCTGAACAGTAGTAGCTGCCTCTCTGGCCGCAGTCACCCAGCCCAAGGCCAAGGGGCTGTTGGCCATCCAAATGGGTTGGCGGAGCTTCCGGTCTCTCTAACTTAGTTCGTCTACCTGACTTGGACGCCGCTGCCAACTCTCAGTGCACTTCTCGGGTACCCTAGAACCACCCAGGGGTCAGAGAGCGAGCCCGGGACACTCCGAGTCAAGTTCCAGCCCATTCGAAACTAGAGGTGGGGGTGGGGGTGGGGTTGTGCAATTGGAGACTTGTGGTCAAGAAAGACAGAAACAATCCCCACGAATGAGGTTTCCCAGTCATCTCTCGGACAGTTCTCTCAACAAAGCCAGGGCCGGCCAGCCAGCCAGACGGAACCCCGAGGTTTCTTGAGTAACAAGCCAACGTCTCGAATTTGCCCTCCTGTATCAAATTTGAAAACTCCAGTTCCCGCCACCCTCTTGCCCTCTGCTCTCAAGTGGGGCAGCCCTGACCGGCAACGAGAGTCCTAAGGGACAAGTTGCCAGTGGCGAGAGAGGAAAGATATTTTAAGAAGAGACCCACAGAACCCCAGTGGAATAGCTTGGGTCACCTCCACGCCTAGCCCCCCCCCCCCCACAAGCTGTCTACTTCCTTAAGCCAGGGTTAGAAAAAGGGCGTCCCCATTCCTCGCGCCTTTGACCAAGGTCCAGGAAGGATATGGAGGAGGGCCTGGCAATAGGGGGAATCACCCTAATGAACAGAGACGGCGGAATGGTATTTATTACGGGAGATACTTGCTGCGTTAACAATGAACTTCGAGGAGGGAGAAAACTCTCCAGTCAAGTCAGTTAAACTGATAAAATCCCAGTGGTCCCTTAGACACTTCGCCTGGATTAGATCCCGGTAGATGGGAGCTGAGGAGACCAACACCTCCCCTAACGCTAAGATAATTTTCTTCCCTCTCCCCAAAGGGCAAGGCGTGAGGCCGGGTTCTGTGGGAGGGAGGGGAAGAGGAAAAATCGCTTGGGAAACCGATTGACTTTCCCCAAGGCCGCCCAGCGGACTTGGAAATTTCACGGAAATCTTTCCGAAAATATGAGATATTTTTGTTTCCAAAACTCTCCCTAGAATTATGTAGAATACACATTTTCTTAGCCAGTTTCTGCAGATTTTTTCTGTTCCTCCTTTTTAGTTTTATTCATTTCAAATAGCCAACCTACCAGCTTACTATCATTACAAGGTTTCAAGTTGTTTTTGTTTTTTGTTTTTTACTCTCACATCACAAATAAATTTCCCAAATCTAAGATTTCCTATATTTTTAATAAAATTGAATCTTATCCCATTTGATTGCGTTACGTCAATTCAGAACAAAAGCTTGATAATCCCTAGAAGCTTGAGGAAAATAAAAGATGGTGGACTTTTATTTTCATCTCTTCATTTTCCTCTCAAGATTAAAACAATATTTCCACCTATTTAAGGAATTTTAAAATACGACACCTCCCTTTTAAAATGTACACCTATTGGCCTTTAAGATCTCTCCTGTGATCCGCCAGGTTATAAGAAAAATAATTCCTTTTAAACATCTCATTTCTCTGAAACGGTTAGCCAGGCATTTGTTTCAAAAATCTTGTCACTCCTCTTACCTCTCGTTCTCTTCCCCTCCCTTAATAAAAGTCCCTGCACCTCCTTACTACAGATAAAGCCGATTTTTAGAAGAATACTCCTATTGTGGGGCAGTTATCAATGAAATTCTTATTACAATATTTGGAAGAAAACGTACTGCACCAATCGAACCAAAGTGAGGTTTGTAGAACATGAGCGCGCCCTCGTGTGGCTCTCTCTCACGAAGCAACTTGGAATTGGTTTCCCTCAAGATTTTTCTTTCTAGGGGCAAACTTGCTACATTTAAACCCTGGGGAGGGGGAAAAAAACAGAAATAAGTCATTGACTGGTTTGGTTTTTTGGAGTGATTGTATGAGGGCACTGAGATTTTAGTAGCCTTCCAATGTCAGGAACAAAGCCAAACCTTCAAAAAACTAGTAATTCGATCGAGTGCTTTCCCCTCTAATTCACTCTTCTCTCCCCACCCCCCCACCCCCACCAGGGCTGAGAGGTTTTCAAAAATGCATATAGAAATTCTATTAAATCCTGAGGTTTAATATTATTGAAGGTGCAATAATTTATTTGACAGGGCGACAAATTGGTTTAAAATATAATGAAAGACTAACTGTCTGGAAATAACTTCCCCCTTTCAAATGGCTCCCTTTTTATTCCCCCCAAGTACAGTCTATCATTGGAGGAAAGGTGATAGCGATCTAAGTCCCCCAAAATGGTGTTTCATAACTGTTCTGGAGACATTGTTCTAAGTCATTATGATCGAATAGAGCTTTGCAAAGAACTCTGTTGCCATTAAGCTTACAGAAATATTTGGAAGGAAATTAAAGAGTATTGATCCTGAAATTAGGAATTTGCTCAGAGATTTATGGCAATTCCCCTGATATGATTCTCTGCAAAGTCATAAATGCGCGCGTGTGGGTGTATGTGTGTGATAGTGGGTGGTGGTTGAAAAAAACAGAAGAACCTTAGGGCGCCTAATTATTCAGAAAGGTTAAAGGTGATGACCTTGACATTTTGGAAGTTCAAAGGCATACACTTATGTTTTTGCTTCTCGCAAAAGACTTTGCCATTTTAATTTTATTTTTCTTTAGAGATAGCATTCTCGGTTGTCTTTTAGTGGATATTAGTGCTGTTGTGGATTCATTTTTCGACTTTGGGCTTATAAGAAGCCAGAGTCATGAGATCTACTTTGTCTTAAAAAAAAAAAAAGGACAACCCTTTCTCACTCCACTTTATTGTACATTGCGGAAATCTTTTTTTCTCCCACCAGAAGGTGTATAATATAACCCAATTAAGCTGTTTAGAACTTTGGTTTTTATGGTGTTGTCTAGACAGTTCAAGGTTTTGTAAACAGCTTAGCCAGGTCACGCAACATAAAGTGCAGAGAAGACCTCAGTTACATTCTTTCACTTTACGAAATAAAAGCAAGGAGATCTTTAGCACTGGATTCTGAGCAGGGGATTACCTTTGTCTACTTACTTTATCCTGACTGCGAAATAAGCAACACTACTCTACAAACAGGGGACACTGGTATCTCTTGAACTTTTTAGGGTGGTGATTTTAATTTTTTAAGGGATCCTCTCCTCCTTGAAATTGTAAAAAGGATCAAGAGTGAATTTGCTTTTTCCATACATCTACCAAAAATGGCGGGGGGGGGGGTCCTGTTTTCAGAAATTCCAAGTTCTCAAACTGGAGGAACGAATTATTAGCTCTTTAGAAATCCCTGCCGCCTCTGTCCCATCAGCTCTGATAGAAGGCAGAGAGCCATTTTTGGTGTCTCACACACTGAAGGGATTAACTGAAAGTTACATTGAAAAGAAGCCAGCTGGGGATAGAAATCAACCCTGATTTTAACTCTGCTGCAAATGTTCTTCCATTTTGGTTGGGGGATGGGGGTAAGGGGTTCCTGCCAGTTCTCTTTGCTCCCTCAAATGTCCTGTTCAGACGCTAAAGTTCTTCAAAGAGGAAAATTCATACAGTGCATTGAGGATGGAACCTTCGTTTTACTAGAAACCATTTATTCACAAGAAAAAGACAGTGGCCCATGCGTTTATATGACAGTGGAAACTTAGAGAGAGACCGAAGGTACATTTCCCAGAGTTTAAATAATCGCCATTCTTTTAGTGAAAGGAAACAGTTGACTCTAAGCTCAGAACAAAACACCTTAAGCAATACGGCCAAACGCACTACAGGTCCATCTGCATCACCACGAAGACTTAGGGTGGGGGAGATGGAGAAGGGAGACAAAAAAAAAAAACATTTTGGTGGTAAAATTGTAAACGGATGTTTGGATTTACCATTTTCCCCTCATTGGGCATCGGATCCGCCAAGACACCGGCATCTTCTGCAGGCATTGATCGCTGGGAAGTAACCGAGTTGACCGAGTTGAATGTGAAAATGAAGCTTGGAGTTCCGAAGGGAAGATGAGTCATGTAAACCCAATGACTTTTTGCCTCCGGCGGACAGGCAGAGAGAGGGGAGGAGTGTGAGTGTGAGTGAGAGTTGCAGGAGGGGGAGGGGGAGAGATTTCTTGATCTTTCAGAATAAGGGGTTCCCAGTGAAATATTGGAGTCGATCTCTGTTCAGTTTCTTTTCTTTCATCCTGCGATTCTGGAACCAGATTTTGACTTGTCGGTCAGTAAGGTTGAGCATTCGAGACAGTTGGAGTCTTTTTTCTTTGTTTATATACACGTTGAAGAAAAATTCCCGTTCCAGTTCTCGGATCTGGTATTTGGTGTAGGGACACCTCTTTTTCCTCGATCGCTGGGGGACCACTGAAAGGAAGGGGGAAAAAAAGACTAAAGGACTAGATTGAGACCACCCAGCGCTCTCTTTCGCTACTCAGACCCAGACCACAACTTCAAGCTCTCTTGTACTTGGCCAACTGTGTACTGGCCTCTGGTCAGTTCCTCTACTAGGAAAAGGGACCAGGGCAGGACACTGGACTCCCCTTCGATAGCTAGTGACATCCCCTCATTCTTCTGAAAAGACCTTGTGTCTCTATAGAAATGATATATGGCCAGGAGAAATTAGAGTGCAGGCTTGTATAGATCTAATAGGTGTGTGCGTGGATATAGACACACATGCATATGGAGGGACATATATTTACATATGTATATGTGTACACATATATGCATGTGCAGAAAGAGCTGTTTAGATCTCTCTGTGCCTTTCCTCCAGTTACTTGGATAAGGTCCAGCTTAATGACCAACCTCCCCCTTCCCTCTCCCACTTAAAAGAAACTAAGACGGAGCGAAGATGCCATTAGTGGCCCTGCTAGCAACTGTTGCAAGAAATCTTTTCTTTCTCTCTTCATCGTCCCCCGTCCCCCCAAACAAAATATTCTTTGCAACAATTAATATCCCCCTCGAAGAATACCTTAAGCCCACCTAAATTGGTTTCCTATCGTAAACACGCTTTACAACGGGTAGAGAAATCTTATAGGATATATAAACTTCTTCGAATGCTTATAAAATGGCACATAAAACGCTGGCTGCCAGAGGGTGGGCCCGGGCTCGACTGCACCCCCAACCCCACCCCCACCTCCTCCCCTACCTCCTCCTTCCCCCCGATCCAGGTCCCTACCTGCGCCTCCGCTCTTCTCCGCCCCCGCCTCCCCTGGGGGGGCCTCGCCGCTGGAGCCGCTCTCCGCTGCCCCCTTGGACTCCGGCCCCGAAGGGGCTTTGCCGCAGGGACTCGCGGTGGCCGGAGACTTCAGGCCGCTCTTCTCAGCTTCCCCCTCGGGCTCGCCGCTGGGCTGAGGCGGCTGCTGTTGCTGTTGCTGCTGAGGCTGTTGCTGCTGCTGCTGCTGCTGCTGCTGCTGCTGCTGCTGCTGCTGCTGATACGCGGGTCCAGGCGCCGCCTCGTAAAACTGGTCGAAGCCCTGGGGCAGGATCCCATTGCGCCCCACGGTGCTGTAGAAGTTGGAGGCGGCGCCCGAGGGGCCGTGGGGACCGCAAACGGGTTCGGCAGCCTTGAATAGCATATCCGGCCTCCGGCTCCCGGGCGGCAGCAAGTCCCTGTGCATCACCTCCTCCGCCGCGTAATAGGGAGCGTAACTGCCCCGGTATTGCCATTTACCGCGCTCCAAGCCGTAGTCGCGGAACGCCACTTCGCGCACCGGTTGGACGTGAGGCAGGTTGGAGGAGTAGGGGAAAGTCATTTGACAAGACGACGTCTGCGACAGAAACGAGGGCTTGCTGGAGAAATCCGAGGGGGCCACGTAATAAGCGCAGCCCGGCAGATACATATTGGCTGCGCTGGGGCCGCAGTCGTCAAACTCGGTCATGTCTTTCTCTGGGCGATGGCGAGCGACCGGGAGATTTCCGTGCCTTGAACAAGATCCATCTATTGCACAAGAGGCTTTGGACAGGATCAACTAAGAAAAAATCCCCACCGTGTGCTGACGTGCAATTCATCTTGATTGATTCTGGTGGTAATTATGTCACGTGACTCCATGGAGAAATGTCCTTATATCTATATCAGTCTTTCACCAAGACTTCCCGGGATCTCTCCTGGCGCCGAAGCAAGCACACACTTGGGGGGAGCCGAAGGGGGGGGGCGGTTTTCTCCGCCCAGCCCTTGGAGGCGAGGAGGCATAGGTAGATCTGTAGGCGAATCACCTGAGCGCCGGCGCCTGTTCAGGGCTCTGGCTCCACATTGCTAGAGAGACAGCTGGGTGCATCTGCAGCCAGCCTCCAGCCCCCCTCAGCCTCAGCCGCCCGGGCGCCCTCCTTCCCCGCTTTGCTTTAAATACACGGAGGTAACAAGGAGGAGAAAAGTCCGGAGGAAGCGTAAGAACGAGGTGTGAAGGTGTGAGACTCTCAAATCTCTCTTAAAAAAAAAAAAACAACGCCCCCTCCTCGCCCAGCGTCCCTCACCCCAAATGACCACCACTTCTTTCACAGTCTCACTCAAAGCTTGTTGCTTCTTGCACAATGGGCGTAACTGAGGAGCAACTCACTGAGGCTAGGAAAGCCCTGATTTACATGTTAAGTCTGCTCGGCGAATTTGCTTCAATCACAAGTCTTCTGCTAGCCACGGCACAAAGGTTTGAAATAAAGCAAAAGCCAGCCTACCCATTCGGTATATCTCACCATGGAACTCAGACAAGTATCTACCCACATGCACCCACACACCTTCACTCTCTCTGTCTCTCTGATTCTCTGTCTCTCTGTCTCTGCCTTTCTCTGTATCTTTCCATCTGTCTCTCTCTCTGTCTCTCACATACGAGAGCGCGAGCACTCACTCACACACACACACACACACACACACACACACACACCACTCACCACTACCCACCACCACCACCACCAACACTACCCTGTACACCACAGAGCTAAAGCAAGAGGTGGTTGCTCAAACAGATTCACCAAAAGTGCTTCTCTTGCTCTGAGGTTTCTGGAACCTGGATGTTCTAGGTCTCTGGCGGAACAAAGGGATGAGGAGTCCAATTTACAAGGTGAAGACACTTACGTTTTCACCCCTGATTATTCAAGCCACCCAGGTAAATCCTCAGTCATCTTTACCCCACTCCCCCGCTCCTTCTCGGGGGCATATCTAGAGGACTTGAATGCATTCACCCAGACTTATGCCAACCCGAATATGCCCTGGTGTGGGAGGCTCTTTGGAAGCCAATCCACACACTCTATCATCAAAATCTCCCCCCTCTTCTCCCCCCCCACCTTCCGTGCCTCGTCACCCGACTTGGAAACTACTATTTACTCTAGCAGCCTGGGCCCCAACGAGGGTCGATCAGAGAACTGTAGCCCCTATGCTCTTGCCGCAAAGGCACAAGCGCTTTCTGATTGCCACCGCAGCGGCTCTGATCCCTTACTTTCTTCTTCAGAAGTCTAGACCTGGATCTGCTCGGTCCAGAGGCCACTGACAAGCCTTCCTACCTGAGTTTCACCTCCCAGAGGGTAGGGTGCTTTCCAAAGTGGAGAGACAGAGAGAGACAGAGAGAGAGAGAGAGAGAGAGAGAGAGAGAGAGAGAGAGAGAGAGAGAGAGAGAGAGAGAGATGGAGAAGAGAAAGAAAGAGCGAGAGAGAGCCCAATCTCCCCCTCCAAAAAAAAAAAAAAAAATCTTGATTATTAAATCAAAGAGGAACTGGGCGGCAGGAGGGAAACTTCTGATAGGGGATCCCCTCTCCCCGTCCGATCTCACCCCGAAACGCTGAGGCCTTAAAGCTTCGGCAAGTTCGGCGGGGCGTGGGCAGCAGCTCCTGGGAACTCACTGGGCTGGCCTCAATGCCCATCACCTCTTCTGCCAACTGTGCCGAGAGCCAGGGAGGAAAGAGGTGGTCGAAGCTCATATCTAATTTCTGGCCGATATCTCTCTCCTCCCCACCCCTCTTTTCCCTCCCTCCATATTCCCCCCCTCCCCGCCCCCTGCCCCCTCCTTCCCACACACTGCGCAAACAGGTCGATGGAGAGTGAGGCTGGAGGGCATAGTGTCCTCCCCCGAGTCAGAGCCGCCCCCTGGGGGTGTCTCTGCGGTATCCCCCTCCCCTCTCCGACAGCTCCCATCAAGGTCTCCTGCCCGCCTCCTCTTCTCTCTATAATTCCTCTTTCCCCCATCTTCTTAAGCTCAGACCCCCCAGGAAGGTGGTGCTCTCCCCGGTTTGCTAGCCGCATCCCAAACCTTCCCTTCTTTGGACTCTTCTGGTGCGCCCCGACCTCGTTCCTAAAATGGCTCCCCAGATACTCAGTAGCGGCATAACAGCGAACTCTGCGTCCAGGGCGGTTTCTCCGGGGACTCTAGGAGGTTTCTTTCTCTGTCTGTGGGAAATCTAACTTCGGGCCCTCAGCTTCTTTCTAAGGTTCCTCTGGGTGGGGCATAGGGATCCCGAGCTCTCATCTAGAGACCCTAGGTGTCCCTCTCCACTACTACCCCTCCCCCCCAAAAAAATACAGAGGTCGCTGACCATTACGGAAGAAATTCGACCAGAGCAAGCAACTCAAGTTCAACGACATGGCGAAGCTGGGATTAGTCGAAACCAGTGTTTTAGGCGGGGACGGCACGCCATCTGCAAAGACTGGCAGAAGGGAAGGGCGAGGTGGCTGGGTCACACTGGTTCTCCCTAACGTAGATCACCCCTGGCATCCGTTAGAGGGGTGCAATCCGTCTCCAGCTTCACCCTCCACAGCATTATTTCCCTGGTTTCTTTCATTAGATTCTCCCCCCGCCCCCGCCCACCTCTCAGCGTTGAGACCACCGCAGCTGCCGCAGTCTCTCTCCATGTTTCAGGTCCTCACAGTAATCCCCCTGAAAAATCCACAGCCTTCTAACAGACGCGAACCGCGGACTTTACCGTGAGGATCCTGGCTCCCTTGGCTCCATATCCGCGGGAATCGATTGCATCCTAATTCAACTGGCATGTCCGCTGGCCCTCGGGGCGAATCACGGCTTCCCGCAGTTCTCGCAGAGGGGACGTTCTCTATTTTCCGCCTGGACAAGATGCGGTATTTTTGTGCCACCCAAGATAAGACACTAACTTGACCTTAACTTTGTTATGGCGCCCCTAGTATCTGGAGAACGTGAACAGACACCGTCTGGCAGCTCTCGTAAAAACTGACTGGGGAAGAGATTCTGAGTCATTTCATTTATTGCCACTACAGTTCTGCAAGAAAGCTTTTTCTCACTGCCAAACTTTAATTATTTATGCTCTTTTTGGAAACGAAAAAAGAAGAAGAAGAAGAAAGAAAAGCACCCAGAGCCATTTAAACCCATTTCAGTGCTTTCTGAATTGCTTTTTTTAGTTAAACGAGAGGAAGAGGCAATACCTGGTGCAAAGATAATCTTTATATCAACTGGTTTTCTATCCGAATGTAAATATGTTTTATATGCTGCCTCCTCCCCTTTCTCCACCATCAAAAATTTTAGATAATTGTTGGGGAGCCCTGGGTGAGGGTTTGTGACAGGGTGCTCATCTACTCGATCTTCAGAGTCCGAGAAAGACTTGCGGATATTAATATTTTCTTGGTTTAGGCATTAGGATCTACTAATTCGTACACAGCGTAGAACCCTGTGTCTATTTATGGAAAACGGCCATAGTTTCGAGTTGGAGGCACTGAAGAGTCCCAGTTTGTTTGTTTGTTTCCTGAGTTGTTCTCAGCCTATTTACTGATACCAAGCCCGTTATCCGAGTCCAGAAGCCCCTAGGTGGGTTTTTGGGATCATATTGAATAAGGAGAAAAAGCTGCCTTAAAAACAAACAAACAAAAGACCTCAAGATTTCCAAGGAGGGAGTTTTTCACTATGCATGGGAAGCGATTAGAGGCCAGATTGGTCTCATTTTTACAGATTTCATTTGGTAATCTTTTGTTAATTATTACTTTTTTTATTTGAAATTTCTTCCAGGCTTACGGAGAGCGTGTACCCAAGAGTAAAGAGAGGACAAAGTCTTTGTGGGCTCTGTGGAGAAAGAGAGATTTGAAAACATACACCCACACCCACCCACACACAAAGAAAGAAACCCAAACCAGACAAAAGCAGGGTTTTGCAGTTAGAATTGTTTCTGACATTGTTTGGGGTGGGGTCGGGGACTCGTGGAACTCCTTAAGATGCGTATTTTCAGTATCTTCTCACCCCCACAAGAATCTAAAAGGAGGCTGTTTATTGAATTTTGGAAATGATTTTTTTTTTCCTCGAGAAGAGTTCCTTGTTAGCTCTGGGACTGGGATTAGAATAAATTCGTGTTTCCATGTCTTTTCACAAGTGCTCTCTATATAAACCCAGTGCATTATTGTCTGCCTCTGTCTTTGTTCATTTGGTTTCCTTGCTGGAAACCAAATAATATGGACAAGGGGCAGTTGGACTACTGCCCCTTCTTGGGCGCTCTCGCTTGGCCTTTATTTTTGCACTATGAAAATATTCCTAAGCCAGGTTTGCCTCAATCTTCTTTCTTCGACATTATGCATGCAGAAAAGAAAACAGTTTTAAAATATATCAAATGAGCTTAAGAAGGGAGTCGGAGTGGGAGTCTGCAATTTATGCCTTCCATAACAGGAACTCTTGATTTTGCTAATTCATTCCCTTGTTAATATATCATTTCAATGTTCTCCCTGAACTCCAGCACTGAGTAACATAGAATTTGGGTGTGATTAGTAGGTACGTTAATCTCCATCAGGACCTAGATATTCAATCTGTCTTCCTATTCAGACTACTTTTTGGAGCTCAGTCTCCATTTCCCCAATGTGATCCTATGTTCCCCCCCACCCCCATTATTGGGGATGTATATTGTAGCAGAATATGCCAGTCAAGCTTAGCCTTATGGCCTGCCATTG